TGTTCCAGGACATCCAGAGCTGTTACACAGAGAAACCCTGACTTGAAAAAACAAAACAAAACAAAAAAGAAATGGTTTCTTATGCTTACTTCTTAGTCTGTTCCCACTGTACTCAAATACCAGAAACACAGTTCTGTTTTGTTCCTTTAAAATACTTTATGTAATTGCTCTGCTGTGTGGGCTTCCAACAGACCAGATCAATCTTGTGAAAATTTGGCAAATGAACTATTTCTCATTTGCTAACTTTAAAATCATTACACTTTTTAAACTTCAATTCAGTGTTAGAAAATAAGTCTCTTTAATAACTGACACTACAGGAAGTTACATTCTCTCCACCAGAAATGTCAATTGTATTACAGAGAGAGAGAGAGAAAAAAAAAAAAAACAAATTTATCCCTTTACTTTTTGGTGGTTTTCATACATTTCTTTAAATAATATTAAAATGTTTAGATAACTGTATCCTTAAGGTTTTTGAATATTTGCCTTTTCTTAGAAGGAAATCAACTTTAAACTGGCCGTTTTTAAAACCCAGAATCCCAAAATGAATAATATTTGTCAGTGGTTCCTTCAATTTCTGTTCCCTAGCTGTGTGACGGTGTGTATCTATCAATCAGTTATCGCTTGCATTTTGGAGTTTGTAACATAACCATGTTCCCGACAAGCACCGAGGCAGAATTTAATTAGATTTTGTCTATCTTCTTTAGTTTTTGCTCTTATCTTAATATCTTTAATTTAGTCAGATTTTCTAGTAACTTAATTTTAATTTTTATTCATATATAATGCATTTCGTCTTATTCTGAATTAGTATGGTGCTTTAAACTTTTAACACATTGAATTACAATGTCTGTAGAGATGAGATTTCCACAGTTCTTCTACCAGTAACAATGTGTTTTTGACATTGCTCCCACACTGTTTTCCAGATAGAGCCTTGTGTTTGTATAATTCAGGTAAACACAGCATGTGTAGTGTTGATTGCGTGTGTTCATGGGCACAGTGTAGTTTGCTCTGCTGTTTTGTGTTTTGTTTGGCCAGTGTGCAGATATTAAATACTAACTACTGTGTCAACAGCATTTCATTACTGCCTATGGGGAATTTCCAGTGTCTTCATGCTCATGTGTTTATTATTTTGATATTAAAATATTTTTAAAACAGATTTTTATTTCAGTGTGTCTAAATTATCTCCTTTAGTGTAGTATTATTTCATTAATAATGAATATTTCGTATGTTATGTATGGCTTCACAAAACTTAAATTTCAATGGATATATTTTAAATTCCTAATTTATTTTTACTCCATGCGTGTAGGAGTTTGTTTGCCATGTTGGTGTGTATGAAGGTCACAGGACAGCTTGTGAGAGTCAGAGCCCATCTTCACCTGTGGTTCAGTCATCAAACAGCTTGTCCGACTTGGTGACCATGCCTTTGAGCTATATGGATATAATTTTAAGTGGTTTTGTTGTTGTTGTTATTGTTTGCTTATGAATGGCTAGTGTTAAAAGATGAGGTGCTTTTTAATTAAAATTCACATAAGGTGTCTTTGCTCAGCATCTGTGGTAGCCTGCTCTATAGCCCTGGCATTCAGGACACAAAAATCACATAGTAGGAATCCAAGGTCATCCTTGGCTGTATACAGATAAGGAGACCAGCTGAAGCAGTGTGCAAACTGATTTCTACAACCAAACAGTCCAAAGCTACATTTTCTATAGATTTCATCTTTTCAGCAAATTTTTTTATATAGTGCAAGAAAAATATATAAACCTTAGTGTATTACTATAGTGTATCATGCCAACATGTACTCAGGGGTTAAATTGTTTAACTGGTCATTAAACTTATTTGAATATGTTCAACCTAGCAAAATTACAAACACACACACACACACACACACACATACATATATTATACATAAATTCTATGCACATACACATTATCAGTAATGAACAATGTAAAAATCTATACCATTAAAATTATGTCAAAATAGGAAATACTTAAGTATGAATTTGGCAAAAGTATAAAATAGTTAATAATGAAAACTTAAACTCTGTTAGGATAAAAAATTAAACAATATAAACACAATAAATATAAATATACAGTGTGAATGATTCAGAGTGTCAGTATTATGCCTTTCCATACCAGTAGACTTTTTTTTTAATAAACTGAAGAGTTATCCTTGATTTCATCGAGAAGAAAAATATACAAGCACATAAAAGAAACATTTAAGTTGTGAGCCCTCCAAGATTTGATTTCAACGTTAATAAAATTGCAGTAACCGAAGTCATCAATAGAACAAGAGAACACAGATCGACACAGAGACGGCT